CCCATGGCTTCATCTCCATAGCCGACCTCTACGGCCAAACGGAACCTTGGGAGCTGTTCGAAGATTCCTAGGTAAAAGACAATGTTGTCGTTATTTCTTCACCAAACTCAAGAAAGTCGGCGACAAGAAGGGAAGGAGTTACCAGCGCTACTCGAGGAACGTCGGGGCCGGCAGGAATTAGTCGAACAAGGCCCGATCCCCCTATATATAATTTTCGAATGCGCTGAGCCACCGTGGCTGCTTCTGGTATTTCGGAATCCTACTTGACAAATAATCATGCTTCGTATTAGGTTTGGACAAATAATATTTTAATTTAATTTCAATAAAAAAAATAGATTCGGATTACCATAAATATGTTGATTTATTTAAGATCGTTTTATATTTATTAATTGTATTTTAATAAGATTTCCCATTATAATTATTAAATTACAAATGTATTTTAAAAATTGATAACTTTCATAATTTTATCGGTTTTACATATATAATATATTAAATTAATCATCTTTTGATGAGCTTCGATTTGACATCCATATTGTATATAAAAAATAAATAAATTATATTTATCTTTATAATAATAAAAAAATTATAAAATTAGTTGAAAGATTAAATTATTTCTCAACTAATATATTTATGTTCAATATATTTATATTTAATGTAGTTATATGTTATAGGCTAGAAAAATTATTATAATAAAACACAGGTAAGTCGCACAAGTAACAAGTGTCATACTAAAATATATAATAATATATATTTTTTATAAAAAGTATTTAAATTCTCTACTACTTTTTCTCATTAATTTTAAATTTTAAGAAAATTTTTTAGCAAGCACCCGTGTAATACACGGGCGTTGTACTAGTGCCTTCTTAAAAAGCGAAATTAATAATAGTGATTAGCTACTTCAACCTACAATTTTTTTGCATTTAAATCCAATGGTGACCAATAAGTATTTACGTGACTTGAGCACAACGGAAAGCCCCCTTTAAATATCAAGTATCTACTATTCAAAACAGGAAAAAAAATGGGCGGAATCAAGTTCAAACTGCGGGAGGCTGACTGCTGTGATTATCTCCTGGGGTTCGTCAAAGGGAATCCTCTTCCCTCCCACGGCTTCACCTCCATAGCCAACCTCTACAGCCAAACGGAGCCCTGGGAGCTGTTCGAAGATTCACAGGTAAAAGACGGCGACTGTCGTTATTTCTTCACCGAACTCAAGAAAGTCGACGACAAGAAGGGAAGGAGTTACCAGTGCTACTCAAGAAACGTCGGGGCCGGCGGGAATTGGTCGAACAGGCTAGATCCCCCTATATAATTCTCGAATGTGCTGAGTCTACATGGTTGTTTCTGGTGCTTCGGAATCCTACTTGGCAAATAATGATGATTCGTAATTAGGTTTGGATAAATAATATTTTGATTTAATTTCAATAAAAAAAAATTAGGTTCGAATTACCATAAATATGTTAATTTATTTATGATTATTTTAGATGTATTAATAGTATTTTAATATCACTTCCCATTATAATTATTGAATTGCAAATGTATTTAAAAGCTGATAACTTTTGTATCTTTTGAGTAACTTCGATTTGACATACATATTGTATATATAAAATAAATAAATATATTTATCTTTATAAAAAAAATTATAAAAATTAGTTAGAAAAATAAAATTATTTCTCAACTAATATATTTATGTTTAATATATTTATGTTTAATGTAGTTATATGTTTTAAGTTAGAAAAATTATTATACTATAACACTGGTAAGTCGCACAAGTAACAAGCGTCATACTAAAATATATAATAATATACATTTTTCATAAAAAGTATTTAAATTTTCAACTACTTTTTCTTATTAATTTTAAATTTTAAGAAAAATTTTAGCAAGCACCCATGTATACACGGACGTTGTACTAGTGTCTTCTTAAAAAGCAAGATTAATAATAGCGATTAACTATTTCAACCTACAATTTTTTTGCATTTAAATCCAATGGTGACCAATAAGTATTTACGTGACTTGAACACAACGGAAAGTCCCCTATAAATATCAAGTATCTACTTTTTGAAACAGAAAAAAAAGGGCAGAATCAAGTTAAACCGTGGGACGCTCACTGCTTTGATTATCTCCTAGGTTCGTCAAAGGGAATATTCTTCCCTCCCACGGCTTCATCTCCATAGCCGACCTCTACGGCCAAACGGAGTCTTGAGAGCTGTTTGAAGATTCCTAGGTAAAAGACGGCGGTTGTCGTTATTTATTCACCGAAATCAAGAAAGTCGACGGCAAGAAGGGAAGGAGTTACCAACGCTACTCGAGGAACGTCGGGGCCGGCGGGAATTGGTCGAACAAAGGTCAGACCCCCCTATATATAATTTTAGAATGCACTGCGGCACCGTAGCTGCTTCTAGTGTTTCAGAATCCTACTTGGAAAATAATCATTCTTCGTAATTAGGTTTGGACAAATAATATTTTAATTTAATTTCAATAAAAAAAATTAGGTTTGGATTACCATAAACATGTTGATTTATTTATGTTCATTTTAGATGTATTAATTGTATTTTAATATCATTTTCCATTATGATTATTAAATTGCAAATATATTTTAAAAGATGATAACTTTTGTATTTTTATCATTTTACATATATAATATATCAAATTAATCATCTTTTGATGAGTTTCGATTTGACATCTATATTGTATAAATAAAATAAATAAATTATATTTATCTTCATAATAATAAAAAAAATTATAAAAATTAGTTAGAAACATAAAATTATTTCTCAACTAATATATTTATGTTCAATATATTTATATTTAATGTAGTTATATATTATAACTTAGAAAAATTATTATAATATAACACAGGTAAGTCGCACAATGTACACGTGTCATACTAAAATATATAATAATATATATTTTTTTATAAAAAGTATTCAAATTTTCAACTACTTTATCTCATTAATTTTAAATTTTAAGAAAAAAAAATTTAGCAAGCACCCGTGTAATACACGGGCGTTGTACTAGTGTTATCTTAAAAAGCAAAATTAATAATAGCGATTAGCTACTTCAACCTACAATTTTTTTGCATTTAAATCCAATGGTGACCAATAAGTATTTACGTGACTTGAACACAACGGAAAGCCCCTCTATAAATATCAAGACTACTATACGAAACAGAAAAAAAAAAAAAAAAATCGGCAGAATCAAGTTCAAACTGCGGGACGTTGACTGCTGTGATTATCTCCTGGGGTTCGTCAAAGGGAATCCTCTTCCCTCCCACGGCTTATCTCCATAGCCGACCTCTACGGCCAAACGGAGCCTTGGGAGTTGTTCGAAGATTCCCATGTAAAAGACTGCGGTTGTCGTTATTTCTTCACCAAACTCAAGAAAGTGGGCGGCAAGAAGGGAAGAAGTTACCAACGCTACTCGAGGAACGTCGGGGCCGGCGGGAATTGGTCAAACAAAGGCCATATCCCCTATATATAATTTTCGAATGCGTTGAGCCTACGTGGCTGCTTCTGGTGCTTCAGAATCCTACTTGGCAAATCATCATGCTTCGTAATTAGGTTTGGACAAATAATATTTTAATTTAATTTTAATAAAAAAAATTAGGTTTGGATTATCATAAATATGTTGATTTATTTATGATCATTTTAGATTATTAATTGTATTTTAATATCATTTCCCGTTATAATTATTAAATTGCAAATGTATTTTAAAGGTTGATCACTTTTTTATTTTTATCGGTTTTACATATACAATATATCAAATTAATCATCTTTTGATGAGCTTCGATTTGACATCCATATTGTATATATAAGATAAATAAATTATATTTATCTTTATAATAATAAAAAAATATAAAAATTAGTTAGAAAAATAAAATTATTTCTCAACTAATATATTTATGTTTAATATATTTATATTCTAATGTAGTTATAAGTTATAAGTTAGAAAAATTATTATAATATAACACATGTAAGTCGCACAAGTAACAAGCGTCATACTAAGTTATATAATAATATATACTTTTTATAATAAGTACTTAAATTTTCAACTACTTTTTCTCATTAATTTTAATTTAAAAAAAAAATTAGCAAGCACCCGTGTAATACACAGGCATTGTACTAGTGTCTTCTTTAAAAACAAATTAATAATGGCGATTAACTACTTCAACCTACCATTATTTTGCATTTAAATCCAATGGTGACCAATATGTATTTACGTGACATGAACACAACGGAAAGCCCTCTATAAATATCAAGCATCTACTATTCGAAACAGAAAAAAAAAGAATGAAAATATAGGCGGAATCAAGTTCAAACCGTGGGATGCTGACTGCTGTGATTATCTCTAGAGTTCGTCAAAGGGAATCCTCTTCCTCCCCACGGCTTCATCTCCATAGCCGATCTCTACGGCCAAACGGAGCCTTGGGAGCTGTTCGAAGATTCCGAGGTAAAAGACGGCAGTTGTCGTTATTTCTTCACCAAACTCAAGAAAGTCGGCGGCAAGAAGGGAAGAAGTTACCAACGCTACTCGAGGAACGTCGGGGCCGACGGGAATTGGTCGAACAAAGGCCATATCCCCTTATATACAATTTTCGAATGCGCTGAGCCTACGTGGCTGCTTCTGGTGATTCAGAATCCTACTAGGCAAATAATCATGCTTCGTAGTTAGGTTTGGATAAATAATATTTAAATTTAATTTCAATCTAAAAAAACTAGGCTCGAATTACCATAAATATGTTGGTTTATTTATGATCATTTAGATGTATTAATTGTATTTCAATATTTTTTCCATTATAATTATTGAATTGTAAATATATTTTAAAAGTTGATAACTTTTGTATTTCTTATCAGTTTTACATATATAATATATCAAATTAATCATCTTTTGATGAGCTTCGGTTTGACATCCATATTGTGTATATAAAATAAATAAATTATATTTATCTTTATAATAATTAAAAAAAATAATAAAATTAATTAGACAAATAATATTTATGTTTAGTGTTGTTATGTGTTATAAGTTAGAAAAATTATTATAATATAACACAGGTAAGTCGCACAAGTTATAACAAGTGTCATACTAAAATATATAATAATATATATTTTTTTACAAAAAGTGTTTAAATTCTCAACTACTTTTTCTCATTAATTTTAAATTTTAAAACAAAAATTTAGCAAACAC